AGAAAGAACAGATATTTAGTCAAAAAGACTGTTTTGATTTCTCAAACCCAAATTGTTCAAGTTTGAAAGTGGAAGAACCTAGTGGGCCAGAGTAAGAATAGCCCAGATATCAACCAGGTCCTGATGAGCACTTATCATTGGAGACGCTTACTAATTGCCATTGCCACAAGCATAGGACTTCAACGGGCTGTGCACACAGAGATACAGCTGTTGCCAACCTCACTGTATGTTCCAGTCACCACAAACCCAGCCCTCCACGGGGCACAGAACCTTCCAAGAGTGTCACACCCTTCAGTGTATCAAGTTTGCAGCTTGTGTCTTCTACAGTTGCTAAGGCCCAATCTCCTCCTCGGCCTGCCTCACCCCAGAGTGTCCCAGCCTGGCAGGATATGCAACCAACTGTGGTTCAATCGTCCAATTACTAAATAATTTAATAACCTCTTGCCATCATTTAATAAGTCAACATTGTTTAGGGCATTGAAGAAATAGGGGCAACAAAACAAAAATTATTATTTACAGAATTTACTTTCTTTTGTAGGGATACAGTGTTCAAATTAACTTATACAGATGTTAGGTAGTGAGAAGTGCAATGAAGGAGAATGAATCAGGATAAAGTGTTTTAAATAGAGTGATCAGGGAAGACGTATTAGTCCATTTTTGTGCTGCTGTAACAGAATACCTGAGACCGGGTAATTAATAAAGAACAGGTTTATTTGGCTCATGATTCTGAAACAGCTGTGTCTGGCACAGGCCTCAGGCTGCTTCTACTCATGGCAGACAGTGGCAGGCAGCCGGTGGGTACAAGCAGATCACATGGCAAGAGGAAGCAGGAGAGAGAGGGGAGGTTCCAGGGTCTTTTAAACAACCAGCTCTTGCGGGAATAGAGCAGGAACTCACCCATTACCCCCAGCCTCCAGGGGGAGCATTAATGCATTCATGAGGAATCTGCCCCGTGATTCAAACAGCTCCCTACACTGCTACATTGTGGATCAGATTTCCACATGAGCTTTGAGTGGACAACACATCCAAACTCTACCAGGCTTCTCTGAAAAGACGATATTAGAGAAGAAATCAAAAGGAAGTGGAAGAGCTGAATAGGTTATTTCCCGGGAAAATATGATCCAGGCAGAGAAGGCTACATGAGAGTAAAAGCCATGAGCTAGGGTTATTCATGTTGTGTTTGAATAACGAGGTGATGCAGTTGAAGTGGAGTGAAAAAAAAGAAAATATAGTGGGGGAGGAGAAGAAATCAGATTGTGAAGAACTTTGTAGGTCTGGCGAAGACTGATTTTTACTATGAATGTCATATAAAGTCACTAGTGGGTTCTGAGCAAAGGAATGGAGTAATTCAATTTATCTGTCTGGCTGCTGAGTGGGGAATAGACTGTGGTAGAGGGAAACTAGGGCAGCAGGGAAACCAGTTAGAAGGCTTTCTCAATAAAACAGGTGAGACAATGATAGTGTGGAATTAAGGTAGGAGCAATGGACGTGGTGAGAAGGCTAGATTCTGGACTCTCATAGAAACCCACAGAGATTTGTGTGCTCAACAGCTCTCCCAACACTGATATGGCCATCAGCAAGACCGAAGGACAGGCACATAAACTTCCAAGTGCTCCTAGTAGGCCTGCTGCTAGAGACCCCCACTTCACCACCATAACCTACCAAAAACGTAAGTCTCAAGNGAGCAATGGACGTGGTGAGAAGGCTAGATTCTGGACTCTCATAGAAACCCACAGAGATTTGGGTGCTCAACAGCTCTCCCAACACTGATATGGCCATCAGCAAGACCGAAGGACAGGCACATAAACTTCCAAGTGCTCCTAGAAGGCCTGCTGCTAGAGACCCCCACTTCACCACCATAACCTACCAAAAACGTAAGTCTCAAGAAAGAAATTACAGCTAAAATGGAATTTACACCTCCCCATCAACATGTCTCTTTTGATCTGAGCAAGCCTTATATCATATTTTCTTCAACTTACATAAAAAGCCTGTATTGCTAGGACTAGGGCTCACAGACCCCTCAAGCCTATTGTAGAGACTGGGTCACAAACCCTTCACATGCAGGTCCATGAGCTAGGTAATAGGAAAATGTCCTGGAGCCATGGCTAAAAAATTAATGGGCTTTATTCAGAGCTAGGAACAGCCGCCTTAGTGGCCTCCCGGAGCATCCAGAGAAACGCCGTGTATTGGAGCCATTAGTCCTTTATACTTAGTTCCATAACCCAGGACACCTGGGTGCCCATACACAATTACATTAGATTGTAACCACGGAACACCTGGGTGCACATGGATATTTGCAGCAAATGCTCTGCAAGATTCTGAACTTCTGAAGGGCTCTGACCATTTTTTCATATCTTCCCTACAAAGGCCAAATTCTCTGTGTCATTGTTTTCTTATTTTTATCCCGATATGCTCTGAAAATCCCTCATCTGACTCAACTTTTCACTCACCACCAATTCTTCAAATCTTTCCACCCTACCATTTAGAGCTCATAATGTAACAACAGCAAAACATTTATATCTACAATCTTCTTTATAAACGTTCCTTTTTTGCTATAACAGAAATCTTGCCGACCCCTGGGGAAACTGCTTCTCTAACAGTGAAAGCTGCTATTTTCATTCCCCATGGATATAGAAATGAGTATTATTTTTGCACCTTCTTGCCACTTATTTGTTTTTAGTTGTACATATTTATGGGGCACAGTGTGTTGTTTCAATTCATACAGAA